GATCTTAGTCCATTTAGTTTTTCTTATAATTAATATCAACAGGAATAAAGTATATTCAGTTCATCAACAGTTGCTTAAGTACTTTTGAGTTCTCATTGTAATTTGTGCCTTTTACTGTGAAGCAAGACAAAATTTGTTCTTAGTTCTCATAATTCCAGCTGTCACTGCATGAGGGGACCAATGTTTACTTCCAGTATACCCCTTTGCAAATATTTGTAAAAGATAACAAATACAAATTAAATTCTGTCAAACGATAGAGGTTGGAGGATTACTGAACATTTTCTATCTGGTTGTTTTCTACTGGTTTTCCATTAAAACTTCAATACAGTGGTTAGAATTCCTTTTAATTTTTCCAGGTTTAGTGTAAAAAATGAGTTTCTATAATATTAAATGGCAACTCTAACAACTGCCAACTTTCCAAATTACTTTCTAGCCTTTGTGAAGGGTAGTAACTATTGTAATGTTGAAATTTACATACAGAATAGAACTAAAGGCCTCATGAATCTGTCAATAATAATAACTGGTACAAGGGACATCAGCTGAAGCTATCCTGACTATTAAGCATTACGACTACAATGTTATACCAAATCAGATCAGTGCAGAGAAAGATGGTGTAACTTGAGCTTAATAACTAAAAGCTAGCTCAATGGTGATTGTCATTAAAAACCATCTGATTCACTAGTGTCCTTCGGGGAAGGAATTTTATCATCCTTACATGATCTGCCTACATGTGACTCCAGACCTAGATGACTCATTAATATTCTCTAAAAGGCCTAGCCAGCCACTCAGTTGTACTAACTTGTGACAATGTTCAAACAAAGGAATGAACCCAAACAAAAATACCCAGCATCAACTCTGCAAAGGTTTCCTTACCAATATCTGGGAGCCTGTGCCAAAATTGGGAGAGTGCTCAGAGACACTGGTTAAGCAACAGCCTTACAAAGTCAATCATAGAATCATACATTACAGGCATTATCTCAGACACCGCCTTCATCATCTCTGGATACATCCGGCCTCACCTGCAGGTCAGACACACCACAGAGGGTGGCACAGTGGTGAACAGTCAGGAAGAAGTTGCCCTGGGTGCTCTTAACAGCAGCTCTGGACCCCAAGACGTCTCATGGCATCAGGTCAAACATGGACAAGGAAAACTCCTGTGCATTACCATTTACCACACATTCTTTAAGGGATGAATCAGCACTCCTTCACATTGAACATCTCGGGACGAAGCATCGAGGGTGACACAATGTATTTTGGGTGGGGACTTCAACGTTTACCTCAAAGAATGGCTTGGTGACACCATGGCTGATCGAGCTAGTTTACTTTCAGTGGACAATGCTGCTAGGCTGTGTCTGTGGCAGCTGGTGAGAGTACCAAGGCAAGGGGAAAATATACTTGACCTCACCCTCATTAATCCACTTGTCACAGATGCATCTATCCACGACAATGTATAGTTCAGTGTAGCAGTGACGCACATAGTCACTGCAGAGATGAGAATCCACCTTCACATTGATGACACCATCCACCCTCATGTTGAATGCATTGTGCACTAAATGGGACGGGCATTGAAGAGATTTGGTTACTTAAAACTGGGCATCATGAGGTGCTGTAGGCCAACAGCAGCAGAACTGTAAGCTCATGGCGTGGCAAGAACAATTGCCATAAAGTGAGGACATCAGTCTTGGTTCAATAAAAAAGGAGCATGCCAGGAGCAGCACCAGGAATACCTAAAAATGGGGTGAAGCTACAACATTGTGAGCTACAGTGACTGCTATTGACATCAGCCTTAGCAAGGTCAGGAGAAATCTTTCCATTGGCTGAAACTAAACCTAACAATCTGGAGATTGTTGGAGATCAATCACATCAGCTCCAGGACATCACTGCAGTTCTTCAGCTTATGTCCACATCCCAAACATCTTCAGCTGCTTCACCAATGACCTTACCTCCATCATAAGGTCAGAGCTGGGGATGTTTGCTACTGATTTGATCATGTGCAACACTATTCATGACTTCTCAGATAACAAGGCATTCTGTGTCCATATGCAGGAAGACCCGAACAAAATCCAGGCTTGGGTTGATAAGTAGCAAGTAAGATTCGTGCCAGGCAACAACAATGTCCATGAGAGAGAATCTAACCATCACATCTAGACATTCAATAGCATTACCATCACCAAATACCTCTATCAACATTCTGGGGGCTACCATTAACTAGAAACTGAACTGGACAAGCCATATAAATACTGTGGCTAAAAAGAGTGGGTCAGAAGCTATATAGTCTATGGCAAGTGATGCACCTCCTGATTCCTCAATGTCTGTTCACCATCTGTAAGGCACAGGTCAGGAGTCTGATGGACTATTTTCCACTTGCAGCTTCAACAACACTCAAGAAGATTGACACCATTTTGGACAAAGCAGCCTGCTTGACAGACACCTCCCTCATTCACTCCCTCACCAAAACACAGAAGCAGCAGCCTGTGCCATAAATCAGATGGACACCTCTGAACCCTTCCGATATCTACCACATAGCAGGACAAAAACACCACCAGCTCCAGGTCACATCTCATGCTGAATTGGAACAACATCACCATTCTTTCATCAAAACCTTGGAATTCCCTCACTAACAGCACTGCTGATGCCCTTGCATGCCGAGGGCTACAATGCTCTAAGAAAGAAACTCACCACCACCTTTTCAGGGGGAATTAAGGATGGGCATTAAAGAGAACACAGCAAAGCTGCCTTTTGCAGGTCAATGGCCATCAAGAATTTAATAGCACAACTGGATCCATTCAGTTAAAACATTTAAGATCAAGATTTTCATCACGTAAGAGCTGTTAACACTGTTTAGCCCATAGAAAACCCAATATTATTCTCCATAAGAAATGCAGAATTCTCTGATCACAAAATTACAATTTGGTACAAGAAAGAATGACCTGTTGCAGAAACAAATTTAGAATTCTGAACTAAGCATGAATTTTAATTTAGTTGTCCGTTGAGAATTGCGCTTTCCTGATATTAGAAGTGGTTTCCTCACAAACGCAGGACCAATTTAATAAAAAAAAAGTCAAAGATGATTAATTTAAAGGCGGGCAAGATGACAAAGGAATCTTTTACAATGCAGGCATGTATGCAGGAAACATCAGACATATTTCAGCCCATGACACTTAAAGGGTTAAAACTTTATACAAGTGCTTGATTGTATGGTTTTCTTTAGAAGGGAAAAAAAATGCTTCACTGGCATTAGTTGTGAACGAGAGTATGCGTAACAAATGCTAGACTAGTCAGCAACACCTACACCTCATGAACAAATAACAAATTGGTGTTAAACATCTCCATGCAAAAAATTTTACAATGCACACCTTAAAAAAGCCCCAGAAGTCCAAGTCTTGTACTGGCATCTTAAAATCTCTTTACGTACGTGAAACCTAGTATTCAAATATTTACCTTCATCAGATCGTCTTCAATCACATCATTTCTCATCTGTGCAGCATCTAGTTGTGTGTAAAAGCGTGCACCAATCATCGGCATAATATCATTTACACTGCGTAGCCGGTTTTGGTCAGTCAGCAAATACCTAAATTGAAGAGTTAATATCAATGAATTAATATTGTATATTTTGATCTACAGTTCATGTCAGATTCCTTAACAATTCCAACCCTCACTTTCTTCTCATTGCCAGTAACTGTCTACTCATTCCTTAAAACTTTTGCAACCACTTGGCTATTGTGCTAAAAAAATGAATTGACCATTTGAGCATATTCATTTCTCAGAACCAAGCCTGCACACTGTGGTTACATAGCTTGCTCTGAAAATAGGCATTCTTGCACAAATCTTAGTACATTCATAATTTAAAATCGGAATCATTCTTCCTATTTTGGCCTTATTTTCAGTAAACGATTTGTTGGTTCCATTGATGTCTGCAGTTCCTTTTTCACTGTAAGGGCTCTTTACCAAGAAATGCACTCACATTGCAGTCTTCCAAAAACTTGGTAGCAATAGGGATGGATTAAATACCCTATGATCAGTATGTCCTTCTATGTTACGATCTGCCTTACTGCACGCAAAACAAAACGTTTTACTACTTAGGTCATATGACAACAATAAATCAAATCAAACCAAACACAGGACCTATGGCTAGGCACTGAACTCAAATAGGTCATCATCCAATGACTTAAGAACCAAATTTGTTTAGGGAATGTGTAGACTTTCTCCTGGTCTATTTTTTCATATATTTTCCTTTCCTTGGCGTATTTACCCAACTTTTGACTGCAGCGATTAGAAGATGCTCACCACACTTTCAAGGAAAACAAATGCTGGCCTAGTCATCAATATTTACATTCTGCGAAAGAATTTGTCCTCATGTTCTAACAGATCAAGTTTGAGTGATTTGTAGAGATGCCAAGACCATAAATAATTTGTAACCAAGCTCCAAGTGGCACTAATGTTTTTAACTGTTACTAACTTGACTTTTATCTCCTGTTTCCGCTCCTGGTTTCAGTCTGCTTGCTAATCTCTGCCACTGGACACCTTAAAGGTCCCAGTTTACTGCCTTTTCTTTGTCTCATTCTGAAATATTCTTTTGCCAATTTGCTCAGATGCTTCCCTAGCTACATCTTACTACAGAGGCTATGATCAGCCTACTGACTAACCAAATTGACCACCACCCATGTGTCCTCTCTTTTGGTTCTCAGACATCTGCTTTGGATCATAGGTCATCCATTAGCACCCTCTACTGTTCAATACATGTGAATACATATAGCTCCTGATTCCAGGGCCTCCTTATTCTGCACTGACTTACAAGAACTAAATCCATGAATCTAGCCTTTGTTCTTTAAAGCTATTTATGCAGCTTAAAACGTGGAGCTTGGAAATGATCTTTGGGATCAGGTTGTTAATATGGGGTGCTTGGGGTTTAGACGAAGGCAGAGAATGTGCAAAGTCAAGAGGAAAGAAAGGGTTAATGTGGGTGGGAGCAAGGGAGAGATGGAGACTTGGAAGTAACGATGCAGGGGGTGCGGGTGTGGAAGTGGCAAGAAGGGGTAAAGGAGGCAGCAGGAATGAGGGGCTGGAGATAAGGAAGAAAAGGGAACTCTGTGTGTGATGTAGGTACAGACATCAGGCAAGGCTAATATGTTGAGTAAGTGCTCAGTTGTGACCTCAGACTTCTAATTTGGCTTACATCCTTTGTTGGATCACCTTTTGAGTTGTAGCATGATAAGTGCTGATGGTTCACCAATCCTTTCATAAACTAAAGGAATTAGCAATACTAAAATAACAAACAACTTAAAAAATAATTCCTATTGTAAGAAAGAAAATAGCGGGTACAAGAAAAATATGCTTTTGTCATAATATTTTCTGATGCATTTGAAATGTAATCGCTGCAACAAATTAATTGTGAGCAGCAAATACAGTACACTGGATTGAAAGAGGTCCAAGTAAAACGCTGCTTTACTACATCCTCCTACCCAGTCATGACTCTGTTCTCAGCAGAGTGAACCTTTTTTTAAAAAACCTTTTCGTACCTATCATTTACACGTTACATCTCTATGACTCTTTCATCAATATTTGCACTCTCTTTGTCTTTTGCTCTGGACACCCTCTCAATATGTTGCACTTGCTTCTCCTTCCCCCTCTGACTACAGCATAAAAACACCATTTTCAGAACTGAAAGGAGCTTAAGTTATATCAGACTTGAAAATATGAACTCTGCTTCTCTTTTCCACAAATGTTGCTAGACTTGAGTTTCTCTAGTATTTTGATTCACTTGATAATTCTTACTTACTGTAGAATAGTGGAGGGCAGGACTCCACTGAATGACGACAGTTACTTTCAAACTTGAGGGGCTGAATTGCCTACTTCTGCTCAGAGTTCTTATGCTCATTCAAAATATATTGCACTAATCTTCTCTTTCCTCAAATTCCTACAATATTTTTCTCATTCAAGCATTTATTCAATTTTCTTTTAAAACCTACTACTGAATCAGTACCAGCTAGTATATCCTAAATCTTAAACCATTCCTTACATAAAAACTTATCGCATGTCCATTTTCTTTTACTTGTCATATTAAGCTTGTGCCCTCTAGTTACTGATCCTTCAATCACTGAAAACAGTTTCTCCTCATCTCTCTTCCAAATGACTTTCTTCACCTTTAGCTTTCTTTGCTGAGAGAATAACCCCAAACTCTCTAGTCTATCCACGTAACTATATCACTAGCCAAGATCCCTCATGCATAGTAAATGTCTTCTGTACCATCTTCAAAGTCTTCACACCCTTCCTCAAGCATGGTGCTCAGAAATGGAAATAATCATCCAGCTGGAAATGAACTGGATTTTAATATAAATGTAGCATAATTAAAATGCTGTTATCAGCTTAGATGATGCTCTTTCGATCTGCTGGTTATAAACTTAATCTGCTCCCACTGAATGTAAATTCCAATTTTTGCAAATGTGAAGGTTTTCTCTTGAATCGTGTGCAACCTAGTGCTGGTGATTTATTTAAAAAGTGAACTATAACACTGCACTACTAAGAAAGGATTACATTTTATGATTAAATTTTGTTAAGGATGCAAACTGAATATATATCACTACTAAAAGATGAAATTAAACATTTTATGGCTTAAATCTACATGATAATAGATCATTTCTGAATTAATTTTAAGAAGGCATTCGTAATACTCAAAACGTGTAATAGCCGAAACCTTATTCCACCAACTGTTGATTTTCCTTCACATAGCACAGGAAACTAATAACACATTCCGATTGATTTCAATTATACTTTTGTTAAATTTTGAGAGGGAAAAGCATAACAACAACTGGATAATGAACAAGTCATCTTATTGGACTGTGACCTGGTGAATTAATACTTTTATATTTTAAGGACTTTATTTTCAGTCAACTGATATCTTTATGTAGACATTTATCTAAAGAAAAAATACAAAATGTAAAATTAGTTGAGCATTATAAAAGAAAAAAAAATGAGACGCTACAATAGACTGCTTTTCCAATAATTCGTGGGTCCTTAACGATTTTCAAAAGACTTGGATTTAAATGACGCCTTTTGCAATCAACAAATATCTCAAAGCAATTAACAGTCAGTGAAACCTTTTTGAAATGCAGTCAGTGTTGTAATGTATAAATTACGTTCAACTAAACCTACTTATGCCTAATGATATTACTTTAGTTTTGGATGAAATTCACCCATCATATACAAACTAAGAGTACATGTGTAAGCCTATGTGTATTCCATTTGACAGGAGTGATCAGGAAAGGAAGAGCAAAATAATCATTTGGATTTTTTTTGCATGCTTGACAGGTACTGAAATTGTGGCAAAATGGAACAAACCCAACATCAGAATCACAGCTCCCTCATACATTCATATTTAGCAGATTAAATATATTCTAAACACAAGCACTGTCATAAATCAAAAAGTGATCAGCTTCAATCTGAGCTTCAAACCCTCAAAATTACGACAAGAATGACAAGAAAACCGTGCAGAAATTAAATAACATTGCACAACAATGTAAAAAAAATTTGAAGTCAAAAGTGGATAGAAGAAATACAAAAATATTTTGGATGCATGCGAGAATAGTAACTGCTGAAAATTAATTATGATTTATTACGGTACAAGCCAAAGGGCATGAAAATAAGAGACTTCGTAAATTGGCAGAGGAAGACAAAGGAGAGTGTGATGTTCTCCCTGTTGCCAGCAGATAATTTCAGGGTTGGAACCTGGTAGAGCAGCAAACCAGAGGCTATTTCCCACCTCTGTTGGCATTTTAATGGCAATAAAAGGAGCCTCTTGCCTTGCATACACACAGCCATACAAGCCACAGTATCCTACCAGCAGGTTACATAGAGTCATAGAAATTTACAAGACAGAAAAACACACTCCAGCCCATTGAGTCTGCACCAGTTAAAAGAAAACACCAAACTGTTCTAATCCAATTTTCCAGCACT